GGAAAAGAACCCACACTGCCAGGTCTGGTGACATAACTGTGACCCCAGCACTTAGCAGGCTAAAGCAGAAAGATTCCAAGTTGGAGGTGAGTTTAGAACACACAGGGAAGCTGTCTCAAAAAACATACAAAAATTAACAGACACTGGATGTTTTGTGAAGCCAGATTATAAAACAATTTAGTAGCATTTATATCAGTAGATCTATATGCACACAAAACACCTTGACTTCCTACTGAAAGACTGCAGAGTAAACACATTTGATTAAATTAAATTACAATACTCTGAGTTAAAACAAAAGCTTACAATTGCTCCCCACTTCAACCAAATGTTTAGATAATCCTTGGTGGCCTGCTAGCCCTTATCACACCACAAGAACATGACTGTTTAATCACAGCTAAGATGAGCCTTTATCCAATGCCACCTAGTTGGTCTGGGGCTGTGTTGGGAAGTGCCCTAACTTGAACAACAAATTAATACAGTCACCTTAATAATAGCAGATATATAAAGTTGTGACACACAGAGGTGACAAAGCCTTAGGATTCCTGATGTACTTTCAAGGTTTCCTCTGACAACCAGTTCCAAATCAATAATCTTAGCAAATCAGTGAGTTGTTATTGTTTTGTTTTATTTTTTTACAGAGAATGCAGCCCTTTTCTAATTGGATCGCCACTCCTAAATTCCTTCTATACAAGAACTCAAGACATGATACTTGCAATCATCCTCCCATTTAAAAAATACAAGCCCACAAATAGCCTCATTTTTACTATACTTGGGTTCATTTATAAGCACATGCATGACAGATTGTAGCTGGCTGTCCACCAGAGTTAGATGCTAAGACTCTGCTGCTAAAACTGCACACTCTGGCAAGGGGACACACCAGAAGCTGCTCCTCAGGTGCTGGGAGGCTGTCACAGTTCTACTTAGCAGTAGACAGAGCTGTAATGCCAACAATGGCCAGGTAGTGCACAGTGGTATGACCGTTATGAGAATAACAAATCAACCACCTTCAGGGTGGAATCAAATCTACTCTACAAGAAGGAATCCAAGCCTGGTGCTATAAATCTGGCCAAAAGCTTATTGATGTGGCATAGGGCTGTAGGTTCTGGCAAAGAAGCCACACTGTTGCTTGTCCTAAATGGACATGATATCAAGTTGCTACCTTAACAAATATGCTTTATTCCCATAGGTAAGTGCTGCTAGCATCTTTGATTATAGAGGAACCCCTCTCTGATGGATAGTGTTCACTCATATATAACTGGTCAAAATGTTGAGAATAAGTGGCCATGTAGCATTCAGCCATAAATGAGACATCTATGTCATCTCCTCTAAGACATCACAAAAGAGACGGAAGAAAGAATGAAAGAACTGAGAATGGGATGGAGCATTATAGAATGCAGTCTTCCAGGCAGGACATGTTTCTGGCACTTTTGAACTCACAAAAGCTGTAATTATTACCTGCCCAAGACTGGGCCATCAACATTCATCATGGAACAGGACCATTGGGACTCAAGAGGTTCACCTATTCATAAGGATTTATAAGTAGTTTCTTTTTAGGGGAGCCCCCCCCCCAGTGATATAGCAATGTTCCTGTAAATAACCTCTCACCTTGTGCTTCCTAAAAGCCATCTTGATAAAACCCATTAAGTCACAGGGGTTGGGGGATTAAATAAAAGAGGGATGAACTGGGAAGAGGAAAGGGTTGGTAAAATAGTAAGAGGGGGAGACAAGAGAAAGCAATGAGTATAAATATGATCAATATACTATATACATGTAAGAAAATGTCATTTTGAAACTCATTATTATATATAACCATTATATGCTAATAAACATTTTTAAATGGCAGTAGCTAAGACTCTTTTTTAAGTATTTTTATTTTATGTGCACTGGTGTTTTGTCTGCATATATGTCTATGTGAGGGTGTCAGGTCCCCTGCCTGGAATTAGAGTTACAAGACAGTTGTGAGCTGTCATGTGGGTGATAGGAATTGAACCAGCATTCTCTTGGAAGAGCAGCCAGTGCTCTTAACCACTGAGCCATCTCCCCAGAACCCAGTAGCTAGGATTCTAAACCACTAAATGACATTACCAGCCAAAAATTCTGCACGGCTTCAATAAATACTTAGTTTTTTTTGTGAAACTACAGCCATATTTGCCTTCTCCACTTTTACAGAAAGACCATCCTAGCAAGTACCAGCGTGTGTTTGAGAACTTTTGTAATAAAATGGACACAGAAAGACTCTGTTTCAAAACAAAACCCCACCAAAAAGAGAAACTTCTACCAGTGGATGAACACACACACACACACACACACACACACACACACACAAATGAGACAGGGTTTCTCTGTGTTTCTCTCTGTCCTGGAACTCACTCTATAGACTCAAACTCACAGAGATCTGCCTGCCTCTGAGTGCTGGGATTAAAGATGTGTGCCTTCACTGCTCGGCTTCTTCCTGGGTTTTAACATAACTGTGTCTTATCACTTCTAACATGATGAATGTGTTACAGGTATGGTGCAATGCTAGTCCACTATGTTGATAATGAACTAAACCAGTTGTCATGGGCTCCTACCTAGATCTATGGCTAAACATCACAAAGTCTAGGAAATCTCTAAATGGGAGTAAAAACAAGAGCAAGTGAGTGAGTGTCAATCATCTGCACTCTGAAGGAAAGGACCACAAGCACAAGAGAAGTTTAAGATATGATTAAGTGCTAACTGGAACTGCAGCCTTGGGGAAGGCATTTTACTAGTTCCCTTACCTTTCCAAAGGGAACACTTGCCTGTCTATTTTAAGAGACTTCTGAGAGGATGAAATGAGGTATCACTGATGTCAGCATTCCACAACAATCAGGAGTATTTGATGTGGATGAAAGCCCTGGATAAAAATAGTTCTTACATGTTTAGAGCAGAATCTCAAAAGAATAGGGAGAATAAATAAAGGCTCACAATTAAAATTCACCACTCCACCCTACCTCCACCCCAGCTCCTGGATTTGCTAAAACAAATCCACACTGGGGAGCTCTAAAGATCACAAGTTCAGTTCCAGCCCAGAGCAAACTGTTCAGTGACCAGTGTTTCACAATGATAAATGCCTCCCAAATCTCAAAGCACCAAGAAAGAGTTTATGAGGTTAGGTGCATTAATTAGCAACACTTATTTGGATTCCATATCCATTAAATACAACAAGCAGCTATTCAATACTAGCATATTTGTACCCTTCTAAGATCCCTAATTCGAAGATCCAGTTAATACAACACAAATCCCAAGAAAATAAACTGAAATGAACCTTTCACCAACAGAATGTGCTTCAAGTAAAATCAGCAGCTCTTCCCCATGGCAAAGGGCCTGCACCAGCCCAAATGAAGGACTGTAGGGCAAAAACTGCTTTACTAGCTTCAATATTTCTTAGTAAGTCCTTTTGCTTAGCTCCTCATTGATCTGCAATCCTCAAAGAAGCATAAAACTGGACAGCATTCTTTCAGAGCCTTCAAATTCAGAAGTCTATTTCCCTAGTCAATTAATCTATCTTCTGATCACTAAATAGACAATGTTTTATAAATAATGAACTATTATTTAAGGCTATATTAGGAGACTGAACATGTTCTCTTATATGTTAGCACCCTGGGTGAAAAACAAAAAAATACAGAGAAAAATTTCTCCTTGTAAAGTAGCCTCTAACGTTACAGAGTTCCCTCTTACATGACGGAACCACTTGCAGCAATTTCTAACATTAGAACCACTAAGCCCAACCTGGGACCTGCTCAGTCAGAATCTGTAGGGGCTCATCTCCAGGCACCAGCATTTTCTTTCTGATGTACGACCAAGATACTGAACTATCAAAGGTCAGAAATACCACAGCCAGTAGAAGCTTCAGGGCAGACCTACACTAAAAAGAAAAGCAAACTCACATGACATCTACATTCTCTTTAGACTCAGGGTCATTGAGCACACCTTTCAATGAAAGTCCCCATCCCTATTTCAACAGTAAGGATCCCTCTGGAAGAACCCTGAAAGGAACAACTCTTCCTCTGTCCTTCCTACTCTACCTTTGCACACTCTGACATCAACTCAGGAAAAATGCAAACACAGGGCAAATATTCTTTAATGCAGAAGGCAGCCATGCAGAGGACTGTTGATTTACCCTAGTTGGTGAGATTGTCTTTAGCAACTCTGATGAGATTCAGTTACTATCTCGAGCAGGGAACTACTCAAATCTTTCACTTAGCACTACCATTCCATGTGTTTCTTATACAAATGTAACATTGTGGCTTTTTGAACAACCCTATAAAAAGCCATGAGTAAGCCTTAAAAAGTATTAGAAATTACCCTTTCAAACATCCTGAAAAATGTCAATATCCTGCTAAAAAGATAAAGTTAGTTCACACCATTTCTCTACAGGATGGTCTTATGGGTCCTACCTTACCCCTGTTCCAGTTTCATGTGCTCAAATCATTAAATACCAGAAAGACTCTGATGGTTTTACACATCAGCTATACTGAGGCTGTCTTATAGAAAGTACTTCAGCCCAGGCTGCAATAGAGGTTGGGACCAAAAACCTAACAACAGAGGCAACAGAAACTCTTTTCTCTCAAGTAAGCCTTCCCTTATTAAAACCCACTTAGCTAAGAACTCCTCAGGGAAAAGAATGGAATTGTTTTGTGCAGATTAATGCAAAGACTCAATCTGTGAAGGCAGAAGCCAAGTGATAGAAAAATCAAGACAAGTCCAGCATTAAGAACTAAGAGGTATCAAGAAAATCAGGTTTTAAAAATTGACACAGTCTAGAGATTAGAGCAAGTATTACTGCTAAGAGACTGTTCTTCCCATAAGACCCATAATTTAACATGATTACAACACCTTTTGGATTAAGAATATAATCTCTAAAAGCAAATACATTGGTGAAACAAACTATATTATCTTCCAAAATAAGTAATTCCATTTCTCTCTCAATGCACCCTTTCAGAACACACATAACAAAGTTAGATACAGCAGACACCCACCTGGCTGTCCCGTGCTGGGAATCCATGATAACCTGGAGTCAGCTGCTCGTTCTAAGATAAAACAGAAAAATAATAATTAAACTTTAAGAGAAAATAAAATGTTAAGAATCAAAATCACCCAAACTAATCAAATATGAATTTCTGTTGAAGTTTCCAAAATTTGCCTTTTCAGTATTCTAGCTGCCTACATACTCCCCAATGCCATAAACACAAACACATTACAGACAAACTCTAGTTTCCTCTTTATTCATGTAAACTGTTTCCTTTACAGTGTACTACTGAGATACAGGGAGAATAATTCCTATCTTCATTCCCCCTGGAGTTTGAACAAACCCAGAAGCTGACAGTAGGAGAACCAGAGTTCCACACATTTCCATGTGTACTCACCCTGTCAAGAAATATTCTAACCTGGCAAGTTTCGGTTCCTCCTATCAGTTCTTTTCAACACAGATGAAATCCCACTTCTCTTCAAGACTCCCCTACCACTCAATCTTATCTTGTGGACTGAAATAAGTCCTAGCATGCACACAAGTTAGTATTACTTAAATTACTTGCACAGTTCACTTTCCATGATATTATTTTAATCTCTTCCTTTTAAAATCTCATATTTAGTGTGTCTCACCTTCACACCAAACAATTAAATCAAGATCCCTGAGGACAGAAGTTGACAGCTAACAAAAGCTACTCAACTAATTCAGTCCCACAACGCACAGCCTGAGCATCCACTTAATGGCTCACTAGAACCATCTGATCATTCAGGCAACAGACACCGAATACTAAAAGTTCCAAATGAATGGTAAATGGCTGAAGACAGTGTATACACAAAGGAGTAATGACAGCATACAATTTCTTTGTAGTTTCTAAGAACTCAATGTAGCTACTTAAAGTGCTCCATCCTCTTCCAGGCACTTGTATTTTCATTCATACTGAAGAGAAGAAGTAAGAAGAATGTTCTCTAGTGGGGCTTCATCAGAAGATAATAAATTTTCCATTTAATGGCAGCTACATCAAAAATACAATTACATTTAAAAGCATGGATATGTATGTATGTATATATAGTCAAAGTATGTACTCACTTAAAAAACATGAGAGGTAGATAAGCGTATACAGGACCATTGTATCTTTTCCATTATGACCCATTCCCTCCCAAGATCTAGCACAATGACTAACAGATGGTAGCCACCCAAAACAAAATTTAGTCAAATAAATGGAATTAGTTTCACATAAGCTAGGAATTCTAATCTAAGATATTTTCTGTACCTACATTTCTGTTGGGTACTTAAATATTTGTAGTCTCAAGATAACTGCCTTTTAAAATTATGGATATCAAAACCCAAAAGTCTTGGGAAGAAAAAGCTGAAGAATAGGATTTCCAAGTTCACTACAAAGCTACAACCATTAGGACAATGTGGCACTGGCATGTCTATTTCTACATAAGGATGAATTAGCCTCCCCCACATCCATTTCTTTGCGTGTATGCGTGTGCTGCTGGGGAGTTAACCCAGGGTCTTACATGTACTAGACAAGCATTCTGCCATTGAACTATGTCCTCAGCCCTTTTGTATTTATTTAAATAAAAGCCTTTGGATGGGGTGAAAACTACACATGCAGCTCTATAAAATATAACTGAGAATTAGCAATTTTTAAAAAAAGTCTTACAAATACGACCAATTAATGTTTTTACTTATATACTTTATGTATATGGGTACTTTGTCTGCATGTACATTTGCATGCCAGAAGATAGCATCAGACAGTTGTGAGATGCCATGTGGGTGCTGGGAATTGAACTCAGGTCCTTTGGAAGAGCAGTGAGTACTCTTAACCACTGATTCATCTCTCCAGCCCTCAATTAATGTTTTTAAAGGATACTAAGAAAGCCAAGGACAGGAAGAATAGTCTTTTTAAGGAAATGCTGATAAGATCATTGGGTAAAAGAGTTACAGCCCTCTGCTACATACTAAATTAACTCTAGCTAGATATAGGCCTGAAACTGAAACTTAAGAAGGAAATCTTCAGTACTTCTGAATAAGTACTACAACACCAAAAGCATGGAAGACCTGAAAATTAGGTCAATTAAACACAATTAAAATTCACTGCTTTTGTCCTTCAAAGGCCACACAATGGAGCACATCTGCAATCCACATTTGATAAAGAAAAAGTATCCAAAGTATATAAAGCACTCTTAGAACTCAGCAATGAAGAATAAAAGAAAACATAACTTTAAAAAGAAAAAGGGTTTGAACAGTCAGTTCTCCTACAGGCAGATGGTAGTTAAGAAAAGTACATGCAAGGAGGCTATCAATGCAGCCCAAACACCTAGACAACACACTGTGGGTAGTTACAGTCTAAAGTCTTAACAACAGCAAGTGTTGAGGATGGGGGGGGGGGGGAGAAATCAAGATTCTGTACACAGTTGGTGGAAATGGAAAGTAGTAAATCACCTTATAAACAGTGGAGTAGTCCCCCAAAAGGTTACAAACAAGGCGAGAGAGCTGGAGATGACTGTGGTTAAGAACACAGACTGCTCTTGCAGAGGACCTGAGCTTCATTCCTAGCACCCAAGTCAGAACTCTCATAACTGTCTATAACTCTGGCTTGGATGATGTCTACAGCACCTCTGAGCCTCAGCACTCTCATGTACAAACTCACCACAGACACAGACATATGCAATGAAAAGATAAAGTAAATTAAAAAGTTAAATACCGCATGCCTTAAACCCAGCACTCAGGAAATAGAGGCAGGTGGATTTCTGTGAGTTTGAGGCCAGTCTGAGATAGAAAAATACTGTCTCAAACCACCACCCTCCAAAAAGTTAAACACACTGTTACCACACGACACAGAAATTACACAACAGGGAATACAGCCAAGGAAACAGAAATATAAATCCAATAAAATTGGGACCTAAGTGTTTGGAACAGCTTAATTTCAGAGGACCCAGAGAGTAAAAAAGTGAACAACAGAACAATTAAAGAAATGGGATACTAAATGTGGATGAATGTTAAAAACATCACAGTAAGTGAAAAATACCAGAGAGAAAAGCCACAAATGTCACCATTCTATTTGCAGGAAATATCCAAATCTGACCAATCCACAGTGACAGAAAATAGATGAGTGGTTTCAGAGGCAACAGGTAAAGATGAGCAGTAACTGCTAACAGGTTTTATATGGGGATGGTGAAACTTCTCAGAATTGGGTATTGGTGACAGACGTACAGTTCAGTGATTATATTGGTGAAAAAAAATTACCGAAAAGGTAAAATAGTGTAGGAACACCTCAGTCAATCTCTCACTTTAAAACAGTAATAGGTAGGAGCCAGCAAGATGGCTCAGTTGGTAAAAGTGCCTGCTACCAAGCCTGAATACCTGAATTCAATCTCTTAGACCCACAGCGTAGGAAGTAGGAACTGACTCACAAAAGTTGTTCTCTGACCTCCACACATGTACTGTGGCATGTATTTGTATGTACATATAAAATATGTGTAGTGTAAACATATACACACATTTTTAGAATTAAAAAGATATTAGAAATAGCCAGGCATTGATGGCCACACACCTTTAATCCCAGCACTCGGGAGGCAGATACAGGCGGATCGCTGTGAGTTTGAGGCCAGTCTGGTCTATAGAACAGGTTCCAGGACAACCTCCAAAGCAATACAGAGAAACCCTGTCTCCCCCTCGCCCCTCCCAAAAAGGAGAAAACAAACAAACAAATAAATAAAAATAAAAAAAGATATTCAAAATAAATAAGTTATTTAAATGCAATGTTGGCTCTCTTTCACACTAACAATTAGAGGAGAGACATATAATTTAGATTACTTATGAAAAGGGAGAGAGGAAGGGGCAAGATATAATAAAGTAGGGCAGGGCAGAAGAAGACACAACAGGAGGGGACAAAAAACAAGGCTCCTGAAATCCACACACACACACACATGTTCTGGATTCTGCAGATTTATCTCAACAACATTTCCTAACAGTGATGATGACAAAGAAGCACTCAGAACATGAGCAGTCCCTGCAGTATAACTCCAGCTTGGGAGAAGAGGGAAAGGAGAACAAAGCCACAAGATAACAACACAGGAATGTGTCAGGGTGTATTTCCTATCTTTGGGGGAACTGCTGGCCTTAGCCTGCAGAACTTAGTACTCCAGGGCCCAGTTCCACCCATTCTGCAGGCTCTCATCTCAAGGACCATTCTATATTACCCTGCAATATAAAAATTTCAACATTTTCTCAAAGAGGTTATATGATTAAGAAAGTAGTCCCAAAGTCCAAGTGCTTGCTAACAAGGGTCCATTCCCCCAACAACATAAATCCTGTGTTCTAACATCCTAGAAACCAAGAGTACAGAAAATTCTATAAAAAAAAAAAAAAAAAAAAAAAAAAAAAAGATCATGATCCTAGAAGTTAGTACTGTCAAAACCACTAGAAGGAAAGACTGAATATCGTTACTGCCTGTTGTACAGCAAGACCAAGGCTACTGGGAACTCTCCTGGGAGTAGGAGAGCCATACCTCAGAATGGTCTGAACTAAATGAAAAGGGGTGGCTTTCCTTTTCAGTTTTACCTATAGACACCTGTCTCTTACAATGCATTAACTTTGCATGGCTTTGGATTTTCTAAATAGAGATCTTGCAATATGTGTTTTCTAGCAACTTGCTTAGCACTGTGAGACTCATTTCCACTAATGCATACCATTACATTCTATTCCTTCTGAATGCTGCTCTAGTACAGTATCCTTATAAATGCAAAGAAGTATTTCCATCCTACTTCCTTGCTGATGAATACTGAAATTCCTCTCAGTTATATTCTGTGCTTACTAACCATACAGCCTGTGGGCATCCTTTCAGAGTCGAGACACCACTTCCTATTCATGAGACCAGCAAAAAGTAAAATGGAACTATTACAAGAAGATGCACAAACAGGGATCATCACACATGAGGTAGGAAGTAAGTATGCAGGGGACACTTGCAAGCAATGGGACAGAAATACCTAGTGCATATATTCTCTCTACTCCAGAGAATCACCAGCACATGTGCTCAGGAAGCATGTGTGC